GAAATTTCCTGGTAAAGGAGGTCTGATTACCCACCCACCCATTATAGTAAGAAAGCAGGCAAGGGGAGGCTTGAGTGAGCTAAAACAAAACAACTTCCTTTTACTTGGTAGGAAAAGTATTTCTACTGGGTAATTTGTGATTTGGAGATTTTCTTGCTTCTAGGTCTAAATAATTGCGTAAACTCCATTTGTTTCATTTCAAATGTGGCTGTCATTTCCTGTCAGGAGGGAAACGAGAAACTCCTAATACACGTTCATCCCCTGATCACCTGTCAGCCTCACAGGAACAAGCATCTCATAATTTGTCCCTGCCCAGGCACTTCATCTTCAAACAGAAACTGCATCTTAATTATAGGCTTTAATGGGCTGTTTCACTCCAGGATCAATATGTCTGACAAAAAACATGCTTTGCTAAAAGCTCATTAATTCACATCCAACTAATTCAAGATTCGTGATGATTTTGGCAGGGACCATGCTGAAGTTTTACCTCTTATACTGCTGCTTGCAAAGGCTTAGCTTGGCCAATTAATTAGGGAGAACAGAATTGCCAAGGAAGTATTTACAGAACATCTATTTGCACGGAGATACTGGCTGTTTGTAGCTTCCAGACTGTTCAGCTCTTACCAGGCAACTCAATTTAATAATTATTTTTTATTAGCACTCTGGACTCAGAAACTGAAAAGTGTATTGTCTCAAAAAGCGTCTGCAGATGCACCGTATTAGCCCCTCGTGGCCTGTGCCTTTGGCACCTTACATGCATCACTCGTTTTGCCTCTCATTGCAGGTGCAGCTGTAGTGGACATTTTCATGTGGGGTCAGAGTCATCTCTATGGGCAACATCCAATCGCCAGCAAGGAATGTGAGCATCTCCTTGTTCTTTATCTCAGGACCTCCTCTGAACCCACAGGAAAAACAGGCTAGAAGTGTAGAGGGTTCATTTCTTCACAGGATAATGTTCTACCAAGAGGAACTAGTGTCAATATGGGTGAACACCTTGGAAGTTAATTCTCTAAGCTTTTCAGAAGTCCATGGACAACAGCTGTGACCGTGATCACGTGCACTGTTTTGGCTTTCGCTGCTTTCCCGTGTTACCCCTTTGCTTCAGGGTATTGCTTCCCAAATAAACTATCTGCCCCCAAAGTCACACTCTGTTTTCATGGGAAGCCAAGCTAAGGCACCCACTCCTCAAAACTTTTGTGTGAATCAATGTATTTGAGATGCTCACTCATTTCTTCACCCATTTGTTTTTTGATAAATGTATTCATTTCTTGTGCTTCTTGGGCTTAGGACTCTTGTGGTAGTAATGTCAAACAAACAATATCTACCTTCATTTTCTCCTTTTCTACCCTTATAGAACTCTCTCTTTTTGCTAATGTCTTTTTCTTGGGTTCTCATAATCTCCTCTACATCCTTCTACTCAGTTCCAATTTGTTCCCACTAATCTCATTTCTCTGCCTCCTCCTTTTCTTCAATGTCCATATAAATTATTCTCCCCAGCTTTATTCTCTGTATAGTGTTCTGTTTCTTAGCAAAGTAACCTCAACTAATGTGGTAGATGGATCCGTGTCAAATGACTTCCGTGTGTTTATGTTACTCCGAGAAGGTAAGGGACACGTGGTTATCCAGGACCTTCTAAGCAACTGAGCCTTTCCATGATTGCCCAAATTATGTCTAGATTTGATATCTCAACAATTCCTATCTTCTTCAACCTAAATTGTCTTAGCATTTGGAACATCAACATCATCTTTTTTTCCTCTGAGCTCCTTGGGTCTTTCTGCTTCATCTTTTAGGTCTCCTCTTCTTTCCATGTTTTAACTTCTTGTTACTCATAATGTGATCTGTGGATCAATAACATCTATAAAACCAGGATGTCTTTTTTATACATATAGAATTTTGGGTCCTACACCTGATCTACTGAACCACAGAATTTGCATTTTAAAAAGATTCCCAAGTGATTCATATGCATCTTAAAATTTTAGAAATGTCGTTGCAATTGATGGCGATTTCTTAGGTTTCCAGATGTGTTTCTGTTCCTCAATTTCTACATTCTTCTAAGAAACGTCTCTGTACTTCATAGCTCCAGATAGTGTCCATGAACTGATAGCTGCAATGACTTATTCCCAAGGCCTGGCGGGGAGGCTCACACCTGTACTCACAGCACTTTGGGAGGCCGAGGTGGGTGGATCACCTGAGGTCAGGAGTTCGAGACCAGCCAGCTAACATGATGAAACCCCGCCTCTACTAAAAATACAAAAAATAGTGGGGCATGGTGGTGCATGTCTGTAATCCCATCTACTTGGGATGCTGAGGCAGGAGAATCGCTTGAACTGGGGAGGCGGAGGTTGCAGTGAGCCGAGATCGTGCCACCGCACTCCTGCCTGGACGACACAGTGAGACTCCATCTCAAAAGTAAGTAAATAAATTAGAACTTATTCTCAAGTCTGATCTCTATTCCAGGCTTATGTTAATTTGTACAACTGGTGAACTGCCCACATGACAACTATATCTAGAAATCTCACAGATGAGCCCAAGTCAAGATATGGAAATGTGACGACTTCAATGAGGCTGTTGCTGGTTGGATTAACCTGGCTGCCTTTCTGAAGCATGTTCACAGGAGTGAAGCTGTTGCTGACAGGCTAGCCTGGAACTGATGTCAGTGGAAACCAATTTAAAACTGATACAGGTAGTTAAGGTTGCTATAGTCAAAAAACAATTGGTCATATTCTTTCTTGAATTTGGAGTCTAAGAACTCTTTATTCCCCCAAATTAATAACTCCATTAATACTTAGTCCCACAAAAAATACTTTGTGGTAGATAACTGTGTTACTTTTCCTGATCCCCTGTTCAGAGTAAACACAGCTATTCCTTTAATGCTGGGGGTATGTATCTGTGGCTGCAGCCCTTACTAGGAATTGTCCTGGGTTGTAATGTAAATGTAAAAATGTAAAAAATACATTTTTTTTTGAAAGGTAGGTCCCTTCACAGGGGGTAGATTAAGGTCAATGATGGACTGACATGGGGATAGAGGTCCAGCTCACTTGTTTCAAAATGAGATACCTCTAAAGGTCTCAATTCTAGTTTCAGAGCTCGCAGAGAACCAGCCGAGGCCTCAGTAGCAACCACACCATGGATCAGATTCTCTCTCTATCCAGTACTGCCTTCCTGACTTCCCCACAGATGTATCTCCTGAGAGCATTCCTGCATACAACTCCTGCAGGCAATGCTTCATCTCAGAGCCCATTTCCAAAATATATGTCTTAAGACACTGCTGCTTCTCCATTACTCCCCCTCTTACTGAGTACACCAATATTATCCTGTTGCCCCAGCCAGACAAGTGGGAATGATTTTTGACTTTTCTCTCCTCATTTTATTTAGCTCAAATACTAGGATGCCAACATTGCATTTATTCTGCATTTTTATCCTTATGATCATTGCCCTAGTTGAAGATTTCATTCATCTCTTACCTGGATAACTACAACAGCTCCTGACTTCTTTTCTCACTGCAACCAAATAATATTTCTAAATTTAAAAAAGGTCATATTATTTACAATTCTTCAGTAACATCCTATTCCCTGAGCATAAAATCTACACTTCTGAAGATACTGCATAACACCATTTGGCTCACTCAGCACTGGGCTTATGTGTCCCAGAGGAATCATTTCATTGTGTTGCCACAAGTTATCAAATTGTCTCCATACATGAAAGTAGCCTTTTTGATGCCAAGGATGGGTTTTTGTCTCTCAGTATCCTTCTAGCCTTGTTCAAAGTGTGGCCTCTAGTGGGAACCTGAGTGAAAGTTTCCTGCAGACATCTACTCAATTCTTCTAAGTAAATTATTTCTCTCCTCCCACCCATTCTACATTCACATTCACGGAATGAAATGAGATCACTGTTTGCTTATGTATCTAACCTGTCACTTACCTTTGCTTCTTAAGAACAACCATTTAAACTTGAGGGCACGATGATCCATCAGGAATTTGCTGGGGTGGCTGGTCAACCAGGATTTACAGCACTCTGCTGATGGGACTCTTTTTATGCGCCCTGTAAATTTTAGTTATCGCTACACTTGTCTGTGGCCAGCATGAACAAGGCTGGCTCCTTTTTGTAATTTCATAAGCACAATAAGATCATAAATTTCAAGCTGCCTTTTCACCCTGTTTTTTTTTTTTTTTTTTCCTTTTTCTTTCCAGTATCCTATTGCCTGAAGCATAATGGACTTTAAAAGGAAAATGTCAGCATTAACAGTCAGCCACTCTAAATGGACCAGGTAGTGCTGCTTCAAGGTTATTTGAAGGTCATCCCTACCTCATAACTGAAGACCTCAGACTGAAAAAGTGTAAGGATTTCTCTGTGACCAAGTAACCACGCCTTTTCAGAGCTGAAGGACAAGTATGTGGATGCGTATCCAAATGTTAGTGCCATCCTCATGCCTCACCCAGATGGTGACCAGTTTTGGAAAAACTGTACAAATAGTTTATATCACAGAAACTTGCTCAGCCTTCCTGGATAATAGTAGCCTTCTTTTACTTCAGTACTGCATAAATTTATCCCAACAACATAGTTTATTCTCACCCAAAATATTCTCAAAGATTGGAATGGTTTCTGTAATAAACTTAGTTATAATAATTATAGATTTACGGAATAATTGAGAAAAAATACAAAAAGGTTCTCATATATATGATACTTAGTTTCTCTTGTTATTTAACTTCTTACATATTGGTATGATACATTTGTTATGTATAATTAGCCAATATTATCTAAAGATCTTGATTTATATTTCTTTAGTTGTTTTGTTTTTGTTGTAGGTGATATTTTCTGTTTTTTGTTTTTTTTGGTCCATTTTGATGACCTGGGCAGTTTTGAGTAGTACTGGTTGGGTATTTTGTAGAATATCCTCAAATGAGATTTGTCTGTTTTTTTTTGTTGTTGTTGTTGTTGTTACTGTTGTTTTCTTTTTTCTTTTTTTTCCATATTTGACTGGCTGTTTAGGAAGACCACAGGAATGAAGTGTTATCTTATCATATCATATCAAAAGTACATGTACTACACAACATCACTATTGATGTTAACATTGATCACCTGGCTGAGATAGCATTTGTCAAGTTTTTTCAATGAACATTTACTCCTTTCTCTTCCTTTCCATATTATAAGTCATTGGAAGGGAATCATTATGTGCAACTCCTACATAAGGAGCAGAGGATTATGCTCCATCTCTTTGATAGCCAAGTATCTATATAAATCATTTGAAATTCTCCTGCATAGGAAATGTTTCTATTGTTAACCAATTATTTTTTATTCAACAATTTATATCAACATGGACTACTCTATGTGATACTGTAAGCAGATCTTATACTTTGGGTAATAATTGAATACCACTTATTCCTTGGTTTATTACTGGGATTTTTTCAGATATGGCCACTGGACTCAGCTGGCTCTTCTGTTTCATTAATATATTTCCATTACTGTGGGGTTTTCTTTGTTTGTTGAAGCACATCTTTACTTTCTGACCCTGCAAGATTCTCCAGGCTTATCTCCTGTCATAGTCATAGAATCAGCCATTTCTCTAAGGATCCCTTGTTCTTTTTATAGGGGGATGGCATTAGAAACTTAGATTTGAATATTAGATGTGCTTGCTGCTATTGGAATACTATTTCTTCTAAACCCTCTTTACCAACAGAATGAGGAAATATATTTGTGTATAATAACATGTGAATGTACATATATACATAATTATTCCTATGTGCAACCATCTGTGTCTATATTAAGCTAAACATGAGTTTATACTGATATTCTACTGTATGGATATGCAATCATTTGTTTTTGTATTTACCTGTTGAATTAGGTATTTTTTGTTTACTAGGTTGTATCTAGTTGTAGGAAATTTTTGTATTTGTTTTTGTATTTACCTGTTGAAGAAGGTATTTTGTATTTACTTGGTTGTATCTAGTTGTAGGAAATTATAAATAAAGCTGCATTAAACATTCATGTGTAGGTTTTTGGTCTTTGTGTGAACATGAATTTTCCAATCAGATTAGTAAATAAAGGCACAATTGCTGGGTTATGGTAAGATTATGCTTAGTTTTTCTAGAAATTGTTAATTTGTCTTCCAAAAGGCTATACCATTTTTATTCTCACTAACCTTGATGAGAGTTCTTAATGCCCTATAAACTTGTCAGCAATTAGTAATGTCATTTTTGGGTGATCATCCTAATTGGCTTATAGCGGTATCTCACTGTTATTTTCATTTGAAACTCTTTAATGATTAATAATGTTGAAAATCTTTACATATGCTTATTTGCAATTTGCATATCTTCTTTGGTGAAGTATTTGTTCAGATCGTTTCCATTTTTAATTGGGTTGATTTTTATATAGAGTTTTGAAAGTCCTTTGCATGTTTTGGATAGTCTTTTATCAAATAATTTTTGCAAATACTTTCTCCAGTCTGTGATTTGTCTTTCTGTTCTCTTAACGTCTTTCACAGATCAGAAGTGTTTTAATTTTAATACAGTCCAATTTAACATGTTTTCTTTTCTTTCACGGATCATGCTTTTGATGTTGTATCTAAAAACTCATCACTGAACCCAAGATCATTATGTTTTTCTTGCAGAAGTTGTATATTTTCCATTTTGCCTTTAATTCTGTGATTAATTTTTGTAACAATTGTTTGAGATATAATTAACATTGCATGCAATTTACCCATTTAAGCATATAATTAAAGGCTGCTAGTATATTGACAGAGCTGTGCGACCACCACCACAATAAATTGTAGAACATCATCAACACCCCAGAAGCAAAATTACCCAATTTTCCCCTACCTACTTCTCCTAGCTTTAGGCAGTGACTAATGTGTTTTTTGTCTCTATGGATTTCTCTGTTCTGAATATTTCAAATAAATGGAACCATAGAAAATGTGTTTGTTGAACTGGCCTCTTTCACTTAGCATAATGTTTTCAAGGTTTATCCAGCGTGTACAATGATAAGTGCTTTATTTATAATGTCCCATTATATGGATATATCACATTTTGTGTACCCATTCATCACCCAGTAAGATTTTGTATTGTTTCTGTCTTTTAGCAGTCATAAAAAATGCTGCTATGAAATTTGGTGTATAAATTTTTCAGTGAAAATACGTCTTCATTTCTCTTAATTACATACCTAAAAGTATAATTGCTAGTTCTTATAGTAACTTTACTTTTAAGTTTTGAGAAATTTCAAGATTGTTTTCCAAATTGCTTCGCCATTTTGCAGTCCCAATGGTTCTTATCTCTCCACATCCTTGCCAACATTTATTAGTTGGCGTTTTTAGTATAGCCAACTTAGTTGGTTTCAAATGGTATCTCATTGTGGTTTTAATTTGCATTTCTATGATTACTAATGATATTAAGCAGCTTTTCATGTGTTTACTGGCCATTAGTACATATTTTTGGAGAAATGTCTTTCCCTAATTTTTATTTGCATTATTTGTCTATTGTTTAGTTGCAAGTATTCTTTATAAATTCTAAATATAAACCCCATATTAGTTATATAATTTAAAAATTCTTCCATTTTATCAGTTATATTTTTACTTTCTTTGTATTTCTTTTAGAAGAACAAGAGTTTTTAAATGTGATGAATCCAATTTGTCTACTCTTTTTGCTTTCTTGTTTGTGCTTTGGACTTTATATATGAAAACTTATTGCCACACACACATATATATATACACACAGATATATACACACACATATATACACACATACATAAATATATATACACACATGTATACATATACACACATATATAAAAATATATAAAACCTTTTAGAATGCCTTGTAAACTTTTACTGATATTGGGTAACGACAATTGGAGTAAATACGACTTTAACATGAGGTTTTATATAAAGTAACTAGGAGTTGTGTTGTGTTTAATGTTTGCTGTACCTATATTGTTTTCATTTCCGGTGTTGACATTAAATTTCATAGGTACTCATCAGAGACAGTCTGCACCCTGTAGCTCATCTGCTAAATATCTACCGTGGTTATATTGGAGTACTATTGGTGTCATTGTAAAGTGTGGCAGAGGGGACACATTCATAATCTTATGATTAAACCTTATTATTTTTGTGGACTTCTGTCTCAGGACTGTGACATTTACAAGTGTTTCTTATCTTTTAAATACCTTCTTAGGTGAGGCAGGAACGCTAGAGAGAAGAGGACTGGATTGGGAGGAATGCTCTCCTTCTAGCTGGAATAAAGTTCTGACAAAGTCATTTTTTTTCCCTAGAGAGTATGCCTTTTTATGGAGACTGCTCTGGATATATTTCACAAGGTTTACTCCCCTTACCTACTGAACCATGAGGGAGTCTTTCTCAAATCTTTACCATTAAAACTTAAAGAGTTCCTTGTGTTTCTTGGTGTAGGCTCTGCCCTAAGATTACAGTCCCATGAAATTTTTCATTCCCGTACTAATCCACACTCAGCTTTCAGCAGTTCATCAAAATTCCCATTTAAGTCTTTCTACCAATTTATGGCCCCAGCAGCTTCTGCTGCAGTTAAGTACATCTTGTCTGCAACACTCTGTGTTTGCCTGTTTCTATAGATTTCGTGTAGTGGTTTGCCCTGTGACCAATGTTATCTGATAACTCCAAGGAAATGCTTTGATTTTTAGTTTATTTGGCTTTTTCTCGCTTCAAGAATAAGAGTGATAACTTCAAATCTCTTTACATATCAGAGCTAAAACTGAGCACAATGGGAGTCAAGATTATCCAGAACTCCTGGAAGTTACTTCCATGATTCTCAACTATCTAATCAACCTTATGTTAAGAATAAGCAAGCAAATATATAATCAAACAATACACCCTCATTAAAATCTATCAAAGCTTTTTTTTTAACCAAATACCAGAAACTTAAAGATCTCATAGTAAATGTATTTTCATTTATGAATCCTGGGCACAAAATTGCTTTGGGTATTTTTTCTAACTCTTCAGCTGGCAAATATTATGCTTGCAAAACATTAAATGAACAAAGGTCTTTAGTCAGTATACAATATATAAAATCAAATACAAAGTGAGGGAGAAAACTTTTGGTTCTGTATATTAATTGCTGATCAGTACAAAAAGATGATTTTGAAATCCAAAAGAGAGATTGATCATTATTATTTTCTTAAAAATGTTGCCATATCAAAGAAAAAAGTACAGAATTGCAGGATTGGAAATGAGAACTGAAACCAACATAATTTCCTATCTCTGAGTTAAATAACACTGAGAATGGGGATATTTTTCTATCTCTATGTTAAATAGCACAAAAACAAGCAAAATAACATAGCTACTTGCTCCAGAAAATTATTCTTCTAGGAAGACTGCAAACAATTGAAATTACTTAAATACTATGAGCAATAGTATGCTTACCAAGTCTTTTTTTCAGGAGCCTTACCAGTTTTGCTCAGTAACCCAAAGCTATTATGTCATAAATTCTGCCCAGTCACAAACAGTTTCTCATGTTCCAAAACCCACTCTAAAATCCACCAGTCCTACCCCTAAAACCCTCTATAGATCATCTCTCTATTTCTCCCTACTGAGCCATCACCAAGACCTATGAAAGTGGTGATACAGTTTGGATGTTCACCCTCTCTAAATCTCATGTGGAAATGTGATCTTTAATATTGGAGGTGAAACGTGGTGGGAGGTGTTTGGGTGGTTGGGACAGATCCCTTATGAGTGCTTGGTGCCTTCCTTGTGGTAATGAATGAGTTGTTGCACTATTAGTTCACTAGAGAGCTGGTTGTTTAAAAGAGCCTGGCATCTCTCTCTTGTTCTTTCTCTCACCACGGGACATACCTGCTCCCCCTTCACTTTCCACCCTGAGTAAAAGCTTCCTGAGGTCCGAACCAGAAGCAGTTGCCAGTGCCATGCTTCTTATACAGCCTGTGGAACCATGAGCCAAATGAACCTCTCTTCTTTATAAGTTACGCAGTCTCACATATTCCTTTATAGCAACACAAAACAGACTAACACATATTTTACTTCATTGAAATAAATCTAACAATCTTAGCTTTGTTCGATCAATAGGTGTATTTAAAGATCTTTTGGGAAATTGATAATTGACAAAAGAAGTTGAAAAGGGAACTGAGTGTAGCACATTTTAAGGCCTGTAGTATAGTTTACATTGTAGAGTCTAGTATTGCTCTTGGATTTTTTTTTTTTTAATGTAGGCCTAAATCCTTTCTAGTAACAGGAAGCCTATCATACTTATTTTCCTTGTTTTCTTCTAAGACAAACCTGTAAAAAATTTCTCCCTAATTTGGCTAAATTTCATCTCCTTTTCACATCAACCACTGGAAAGCTCATGAACCCTCTTGCATAATCTGTGATGATTTATGCCTTTTATGTGCACTTTCCCAAAAAACAAATGCAATAACAGTTCTCCTCTTGAGAAGCCTAAAGAGAAGCCTAAAGAGGAAGGTAACTTATGACTGTTCTAACATTTTTAAAATATAGACGGCTCCTTAAAAACCTCAAATGGACAACAAAACATTTTAACAAAATCTGAGGAGATATCTACTTATGGGATTTATTATCAAAGATCTAATTTCTAGTGACAGCCATTCTAAAATATTATTTGAGATCATTGTAAATTAAGTAAGCAAGACACAATCAGAGTCTAGAAAAAGCTTCCCTCCGTCTCTACTTACTTCTTACTTACTTTTTTTTTTTTTTTGTCACCCCTTCTTAATCCACAGAGCACAGACAGCTTGGGAAATGATTTTCATGACAAGGCATAATTGCATTATAGGCTGATATGTAAATCATTTTCTTAAGTTAGGTAAATTATGCTATGCCACTGATCAATAGTGGCTGCATTTATTTCTCTTTTTCATTATGTTAACATATTCATAACATACCACTTTGTGCCTACATTTCTAAGTCCACATATACTATTTTAAAAGCTCAAGATCTGTTGGGACAATGTGGACTTGGTCATGATCTGGCTTCTCTAGGTCATTGTCAGACAGCTGGCCAAAGTGAGCCTGAACAGAAGAAAATCTGTGGAGAAACACATAGAATGACCGCTCAACTGTCCACATATGCTCACAAAGACATGGATTTGAGTGACCTGCCCAGCTCCTTAATGTGCCTCTCCCCACTGGCCACATCTGAAAGCTCTTGATGTATCCACTTATAGGCTTGTGGGACAAGACAGTATTCAAAGGAATGGGAGAAGCACTGATTCAGAGGTTCTGACACTGTAATCTGCAAAGAACTGTGCTTCAAGGGATGATCAACAGTGAGTACCTCTGAGTCAACGAAACTTACTACAACCAACAAAGTGGTATATTTTTGTTTTCTTGTTTTACATAGTAATAGTTATGCAGATTTTATCTGAATAAAAAGAAAAAGGGCTTCTGATGA